TTCCCTCAATCTGGCGTAAGGCTTTCATAATCCCTTTGCCAAAAAAAAATAACCCTTCTCTCCCTGAACACTATCGACCTATTTCCATACTCCCCTTTCTCTCAAAAGTGCTTGAGGCTTGTGTACATAAGCAGCTATCGCAGTTTGTGTACCAGCAGAAGCTCCTTAGCCATTTACAATCTGGATTCAGACCTGGTCATAGCACAATTACCGCTCTCCTAAAAGTGACTGGCGATATTAGGCAGGGTATGGAGGACACCAAAGTCACAGTGCTGGCTTTGATTGATTTCTCGAATGCCTTTAATACCGTCAGTCACGATGTTCTGCTATCCATCCTTTCCTATCTTATGATCTCCTCGGAAGCCCTGGAATGGTTCTCCTCCTATCTTCAGGGACGACAACAGTGTGTTCGTATTGACGGCTTGTCATCGAGTTGGTGCGACCTTTTCACTGGCGTCCCTCAAGGCGGTATATTATCTCCGTTATTATTTTCAATTTTTATTAATCTCGTTACCCAACACCTTCAATGTGCGTATCACCTGTATGCAGATGACTTGCAAATTTACGCCCAATCGAGAGTTGAAGACATTTCACACGCCACTGATAAAGTCAACAAAGATTTGGACTTCATAAGGAGATGGTCGATGAGGTTTGGTTTGTCGGTTAACCCAAGCAAATGTCAAGTGATCGTCATAGGTAGCAAACAGATGTTAAATAGGTTGGACATGACGGCCATACCACCAGTTGTTTTTAACGACATAATCATACCTCTGAGCCCAGTGGTTAAGAACCTAGGGCTACATATTGATTCGACACTTGACTGGAGAGCACAAGTCACCCACGTCAGCCAGCAAGTCACTACATGTCTTCGCGCCTTATATCGTCTCAAGAATTTTCTGCCCACTAAAACCAAGGCTACGCTTATGCAGTCCCTTATTACTCCCTTAATCGATTATGGTGATGTGTGTTATCTTGACCTGAATGCAGACCTCCTCAATAAACTAGACCGACTTCTTAATAACTGCATTCGATTTGTTTTTAATCTTCGCAAGTATGACCATGTGTCTGCTTTACGTTCCCAACTGAAATGGCTCCCGATTCGTCAACGCCGCAGTCTGCGCGCACTAACATATCTTTTTTCATTTCTTAATTCGCCATCGGTACCTGAGTACCTGGTTCCCCATCTCCGCCTCCTTTGCTCCAGTCACGACCGAAATCTTAGATCAACAAATAATATGCTTCTTCTTTGCCCCCCTCACACTTCCAACTTCATCAATTCTTCCTTCTATGTTCAGTCAGTTCTTCTCTGGAATGCGCTCCCAGTTGAAATCAGGATGTCCACTAACCGGTTTACGTTCAAGAAGAAAGTACAAGAACTTCTACAAAATAAGTTGGCAGAAGGGTCACATCGCTAGCACCCGACTATGTGTTTTGATATTTATGTATTTATAAATGTGTATATTCATCTATTGTATGTGTATACTTGAGACCTCTATGTATATATGTAGTGATGAATATAGTATTTTATTTATAGTATTTATAGTAGTAGTGTATATATGTAAGTTAGATTTATCCTACATTAATAAGTTTAATATAAACAAGTCAAATTCTCTGTTTTCTCTTGCACCTACAGCTTCATTCTTCTACATCACCCAAAGGTCGACTGGCAGAGAATGCCTTGGGCATTAAGTCCGCCTTTGTACAACTAGTGCATTAAGTTAAATAAATAAATAAATAAATGAACACCTGCAACTCAAGAGTCACAAGCGCGTTCGGTCCGGAAATACCGCAGCCGTTAACTTGTTCCACAGATTGGCAGTGCGAGGCAACTTTTTCAAAACAACGCACCGCTTGTCAGCGGGATGAAAATTTAACCGTGTGGAACGATGGCGGAAGGTTGCGGCCTAAATCTTTTGGCTATCAACGATTTGAGTCGCTTTTCTTTGGATAGGGTCTAGAGGGTGAAGCTGGAACTGTGGCCCCTGCATAAAGATGAAAACAGTATCCCATATGCGGTGGGACTTGCTTCCTTACAGAGTTGGAGGCGATGGGCTGGAGTGAAATACTGCCTCGATCTGTTCAGCACACCGATCTTCTTCGAGGCCAATTTGACCTTACCCTATAAATGACCGCGAAATTGGACTTCGCTCGATATCTCCTCCTATCTGCTATATGCCTAGGATTGCAATACTGGCCGAGGCAGTTAGGGAGGTGCTAGGATGATAGCAAACAGCCTTGCGGGACACCAGCATTTACTGACTTCAAGTCGGAGCATGCACCGTAGATGAAGACCTTAGGGGCCATTCATTAATTACCTAAGGATTTCCAGGGGGAGGGGGGGATTAAGAAAATCTATACACTGCCCTTATCTTGAGGAGGGAAGTGTATAGGCGGCCCAGCGGTTGATGTTGGGACCTGTATTTGGAAGTCACCACAAATAGGTGTGATGGCACTCCGTATTCTTTAACCGTCGCCACCGAAATACGTGTTTCAGGAAATGGTTTCCCCATCATACATATACCGACAAGACGAATCGCCGGGATTCATATTGAAATGGAATAAAAAAACGCCTTTCGATTAAATCGGATTTTTACGTATTATGTGCAATAATATCGGCGGTTGTAAATCATTCATCGCTAAATGCTTTATGACTAATATTTTCTGAATGGATATGCCATGTGTTGGTCGTTCACATTTACATTTACATATGTGTAGAAAAAGCTTCGATCGACACACTGGTGTTTTTGAGAACAGGTGTGTCTATCGAATCTTTTCTTACTCAAGTTATTTTTTGTTATTAACAATTATTATTAAAAATATTCGCATACAACTTTTTTGAACTTGTAAGCAAGAAATTATGGAAGTGTGATGCACCAGATACTTTTTTAAGCAAATCACCTGCGTAACAGCTGCGTATGAGTATTAAGAAAACTCACCAGCTGTGACCCTGTCAAAAATCATCATAAGAAGAATTAGAATGTTGACAGATGCAAGTAAATATAGCTGCACGTCCTCGCCATTGACTCGAGGAAGTATGTGATGGATATGCGCAGGTCGAGTAGTAGATGTGACGCGGCCTCCGTCCGATTCGTCAGTTGTTTTTAATAAAAAATGTCAGGTTGGCGCGGCGACGCCGATAGACGTATTTAGCCTGGCCACCGGCCAAATTCATGCAAGCTATCCACACCTCCCGCTAGTCTACCCTAGCGGCAAGGTCGTCCATCATAGTAAATGCAATTAGTTACACCTTTATTCAACCCTACGAAGTGAACTCGAACTATTATATTAACACTCATTCTTATCTTATTACCTGGTACCGCTTATTTTCAATAAAAGGTCGAATATTTCCAAGTGCTGCTTGGCTTTAAATGTCTTGAAAAAGTTACCTAGGCAATAACAATATTTCATTTTTTAATGTCATTGTCCGCTTATGTATTGACAACAATTTGTAAACTTCATATTGTAAAATGTGCAATTTTAGAAACTAGGTGGCTGAGTGCACATACATTGTTTTCAACTATTAACAAATTGTATAACAATGTAAGCCATCATAAATCTAAGCTTTCAATCTAACAAGTTAAAATCTAAACGCAGGAAAATACCCTTTGAAGAATTCAGGTAGCGAGTGACGAATAGGTTTTCTTCTGAAATCCAGATGTGTTGACTTCAAATGCATCCATTATTTTCTAGTTTAAATAAATATTGACAATTGAGATTAACATTTGTTTTGGTTTTCCATCTATAATATTTCACTTTTGTTTTATGGCACTTTGTAATATGTAAACAAATTATTTGGAAACTGTCTTGACATTTTGACTTTCGTTTTATGAGAGGTGACTTTCAAAAGTTTGTCACTGTTTGCTCCGTCTCCTTTTTTTTCCGTGCGGAAATCCCCTCGGATACCACCTATCGGTGGCGTGTCGGACTCGAACCGACTAAAACCGCACGCCGTCTCGGGTACTAATAGCCGGGGAACCAGGTATACCCTAGAAAGGAAGTCCCTGGTGCCCCGACATACCTCGGGCCATCTACAACAAGTAGACGAACCCCCCGTGTTGCTCCGTCCCCTGGATACTATAATGGGTAACGGTTCCTTCTATGTTTTTTCAAAATTATCCAAAGTCATAAAAATCAAAAAGTAACATATATAATTCCTCTGCATGTAGCGCGTGAGATTCACATTGTGCATCCCCCTTGCCTATTGGTATCCATTTGCCAATCAAATTTCTAAATACACAACTCAACAAAAATGTTTTAAGCCGGATGTTTTTTATTTGGCGTATATACGCTCAATGTCTGTATAAACTGATTGCCTGAAAAACTTTAAAGTTTAATTTTTAATAAATTCAGCCAGAATCCTGCTTTTGTCAAAGACGTAGAATAAGATTAACAAAAATATATATCCGTGGTTTTGTCCCACCCTAAAACAAATCCTGGATACGCTTTTGGGGACCGTTCAGTAACGAGATCAGAATACTTAGTTATTATAATATAAATTTTAAAGTAAAGTATGAAATTATTCCCTGTACTTATGTATATATATATATATATATTTATATTTAAAAATTTATTACTGGCAAAATTCCATCAAAGATTGAGCATTCTTAATCTAGGATCACTCCTGAGTGATGAGTGACCTTGTTAACACCTTTCACACTACGAGTAACATTTCAGCATTTGGACATTACTAAGTAATCAAATATTAAAGTTCTGATTTTCACAAACCCTATTTTATAGGATGTCTATTCATTCACACCGACGAAGCTTAATCCACTTTATAGATTTGATAAACAGAGACAAGTGTGTGCGAGATATGTGAAGTTATTATAAACATCACTGAGAATATCCCACTCCCAGTCTCGAGCTCTTGAAATGACTAGGATTCTCTATTATTTACTTATAGGGTTAAAATTTGTTAGTTATTATATGGTTTGTTATTAGTTTGCCTTACAATTACAGTTCTAAAAATGTTTAGACTAAGAGTACCAAATTAATTTCAGGTGACTCCAGGATCTCCCGCGGGTAAGGAACTGGTCCGCGGAGACATCATTGCGAAGATTGACGACTATGATGCGCGTGATCTGCGACATGAAGACGCACAGAACCTCTTTAAAAATGCGCAGAATCAAATTAAAATTGTTGTGCAGAGGTAAGTTTACTATCTCATCTTACTCTTTATCTAGTGCTAAAAATCATAAAAAAAGAATCATGTAGCCAATATTACTACATGTATTTGCGTAAATGTGATCGAATGAAAAAATAAACACTGGTAAAATAAATATTGTGTATAGCATGAATGATTTCATCGATTGAAAGTTATTTCTATCAATCTATAATGGAGGTAAATATAACAAGTGTGTAAACAGGGGCGGGTCTACCGCTCACCTGTACACGGTGCCACGCGCTTCCAGCAGCTTTGTAGGGCGCGTCCCCACGCCCACTTTCTATCACGAATTCGCTGAGTAAGACTGCACTAGGTGTCATCTTTGTTGCCCTTCACCTAACTTTTGATTTATGTGTTGCTCATGGGTGGTGCTGAATTTCCATATTATTTTTAGTTCGGTCAGGCGCAAAACGATCAATTATGAAAAAACATCTTTATTAACTAAGTATATTTTAACTGGTCGTTTTGAGTACAACAAGAATTAAGTAGTAGTTTTATATTTCTGAACCTACGTTTTAAATATAAATGGAGCATATACTTAGTATAATTCAGTATCACCAAATATCTTCGTTTATATGTATGTAGTTCGTGTATGTACACCGTGACGGATATCGTATTGATTCCTTGTTTGTTTAGTGTCTGTATATGTTTTGTAATAATCTGGTAATATTCAGGCATGTATAATCGATGTTGTAAGCGTTGAAATACATTTTAAAATATAATACAAAGGCAATATTTGCACACCTTCAAAATATTTGCTATTGATGTAAATGTAAGATTCCAGTAGGTAAATATTGTATGCTGTAGTCAGTATTTAATGCATGTATTAATGTTGCAGGTAGTTTTCTGCTTTTTCATAAAATCTAAACAGTATTTACCTTTAGAGGTCAAAATTGGCGTACTGAAGGTCATATCCAATTGTAATTTTATCCTCTCTTTTCAATTCCGGGCCCAAAAATATGCAATTCCATTTGAAAATTGCGCTTGACCCTTGAGATAACCTTCAAGGTTGTGATCAAGGTCAACAATAGATAGCCAGGGACAATTCCTGTAACTTTTATGTTTAACGTTTTTCGGAAAAATGCATCCCTAGCGAATTATTCTGCTGTTCCGGTACTTTTCTAACACCCGGTATATCATTTATTTCTACGTCATAATATGTTGCCAGTAATGTATACTTTAGTTGACTCCTTGATATTAACTTTTAATTTATGTATTACCTATTCTTATTGTTTATGTAGATCAATTATTAAGTTTATAATGCATTTGCGATAAAAAAATAGTAAGTCATCGAGCAAGGCCTGCCCCCTGACGTGGGCGGTGCGAAGCTTTATCGACGCGTCACTATTTTTTACCGCAAGTGGACCATAGTTTTATTTAGACGTGGTACAAAACCACAGTGAACTGTGACTTATCATTCATTTTTTTCGTACGTAGGTTAGGGTTGCTACTTACCTACTCACGCTTCGTTGCCAATAAGCTGTTTTTAGACGATGCATAAAGACCCTATTTTTATTATATATTTTTATGTAGGGAATGGTAGCTATGTATAATAAAATAATTACTAGATTTACTGTTAAATAGGCGAAATAGGGTTTTTATGAATCGTCTGAATAGTTTACGAAAAAATCGAATGATGAATCACCGTTTATTCACAGTTTACTGTGATTTTGTCCCATGTCTAGTTTTATATATACCCTACATACTACAACTTATACTACCAATTTCAATACAAAGCGATAAGGTCTCCAGAGCCGTTGGTCTGGCATGGTCCAGACCATTGGAAAGACATATTCAAAACATAATGAGGTGGCTATTCTTTTATTGACAGTATCACATCAACAGCCTTTAATAGTCCACTGCTGGATATAGGCCTCTCCTTAGAAAGGAGATTTTGGCCTACTATACCACGCTGGCCAGACGGGTTGGTATACGGTTTGTGTCAAGTTTTCCTTCTCTCGGCAGTGTTGTTGTAAATAAATAAACACAAAAGTATGATTAATACTTATATTTTGAAAAAACCTAATGAATAACAGTTGCATATGTAATGTCAAGTCCATTATCCTATGTGTGTATATGTGAAAATGCCCAGAGTAAGCTACTAAAATATAAATAAAATGCGTATGTTTTTAAATGTTTATCCCATTTTAAACTCTTCTTAAAAATCGAAGTTGTATGTTTCTAATACATATAATGTATGCTGTTTATGGCAAGTTATGTAATGCAAATTCCCTGACAAAACTATCGAAACATAGTTAAAGTATCTAATGTTGTTTCATAGTTTTGCCTCTTTTTAAGCCTCCTTTTAACTGCACTAACAGCATTGTTGAACCCCTTACATGTCATGTTCATATCGTATCATTCATAGGGACGTGGACCGTGAAGGACCGCGTGGATCTGGCACACCGCTAGCACCACGATCACCCTTGCCGAATGCTGCTGCAGCACCATACAGGTATCATTAACATTATCATTCAATTTATCTGGCAGATCTCAAACGATCTTTGATTATTTTTATCAATGGAAACAAAACGGTTAACAAGTTTAACAGCTAAGTATAAAGAAGAGGAATTAATAAATGTATCGCCTCTCCACCAATTTTATTTTTACAAGGAATTGAAAAATGCTAGAATAGGTGAGTGGCAGTTACATCCACCATTCATTACGGATGATAATTCATTTCAGTTTTTACTCAGTTGTGACTGTCCATTTTAAACTTGTGATTGTTTTTCATACGTAAGAACTCGTAGTAAGAACGGCAGTTGATATACTGGAAAATAATAATCAGCAACTCAGCATTTAACCTATAACCACTATCAAGTGGTCTCCAGGTCGCATGACTTATACATTTTTAAATTTTAATTAACCTAAGAAAAATTACTGAATTTAAAAAAAAAGGAGAACTGAATTGAGAGTAATGAAATTAATTAATTCGGTTAAAAATACATAATAAACAAATTACCTCGAACTGGACAGACTTAAGTCAGTCACATTAAAAAAACACACACAGTAATGTTAAAAAATTACAAAATGAGTAGGATAAACGAATGATATGAATAATTTTGAGAAATATTTTTTCAAACTACACCAATGATGACCGAAGAAAGTAGTAAACTGAACACAGTATCGTGGCTGTCGACTCTTATAATCTGATAAGGTGTAGAACAAATTACCTAAAAGTTTGGGCCAAATGACAATTTAAATACTTTATGTAACTTTATTTTCTTTGTATGATGCTTTTAACCTTCTTCAGGACCCCGAGCCCGCTGCCCGCTACAGCGTGGCGTGGGCCCGAGTCTCAGCCGCGCACACCAGTACCAGCACGCGACCACGGACCACCACCCGCACCTGTCTATTCGTACCCCTTGCAATATGAAGATCACAGAAGTTTCGTGTTATCACCGTCGTCTACGCGCACTGATGATACTGTAGACGAGTCTATCGGTAGTCAGGTTAGTAAATTGTTTTAGCGTTCCAGCTTACCACTTTTGTTGCCAATTCCATTTTACCACTTTTGGTCTAGGGTAAGGCAACGAACTCGTGAAATGCCCAACGTGCGTTCAGTGCACCAATATACATACCTGACCAGAGTCTTACATTTAATCTACACACTGCTTAATATTAACTGATCAACCCAATAACTGTACAATCTATTACGGGACATTTGGCCTTAAAGCGGCATCTATTCATCTTTAATTCGACAAATTAATCTCTGCGCAGTGAATGTCTCAATACGGATAAAATAAATAATTTAAGAAGAATACCTTTATCATTAAAGTCTCCTGACTATTTTGATTCGTCTTTTATTTCGTGGCAACGGAAACGGCTGCTCACGTTATTTTGGAGTGCGAGGGAATAGCCACACAAAAACGAGGTATCTTTCTGGATACATGAGCTCCTAGAAGTCTCTTAACGCTTCAGGAGGTTAGTTCACCTAACCAGCAATATCTGAACTTATTTTATTTTATTTATGTATTTATTAACTTTATGCACATAAGTATAATGGCGGACTTAATGCCATAGGCATTCTCTACCAGTCTACCTTAGGGTGGTGTGGAAATGAGTGTGGAGGTGCCCTACCCTTTGGTTGAGAATTATAAAGTGGACATAAAAGAAGTAATGATAGCAATAATGAGCAAAAAGCAATGAAATAATATAAAAATACCAACGTATAGGTACATACAAGAATACATACAATCATATTCATATATATTGTGTTATATATATACACATACATATATACCATAATATATAAAGTAGGTATCATATTTGTGATGATTCCGCTACATTCCGGTCAAGGAGAGCCCGCACCTTCGCCCTAAACGAAGCCCTTATAACATAATCGTAGATCCTCTAGGAGTATAAATACGAGAACAGAGCCCCTACCAATATCAAAGGTTAACACATCTCTAAGGATGACTTCAGAAATCCTCTACATGAAATGTATTAGGATTTTTTTCTATAAATTTTAGATCCTATAATAGAAAACTTAGAAATTCTAAAAATATTAACTGAGGCGATTTTTTAGAGCTTTACACCAAGCCCTAGAGTTTTGTGAAATCGAAGAATAGATATATTTTTGTTTAAGTACATTATAGTTTTACCAAACCTATAAATTCCCGTGCAATAAATTAAACGGTAAAAAATTGCATTAGTTCAGTAAGGGCTCGGACATCAAGAACGAGATGAAGGTACCCATATAATACAGTTTTCTATGTATAAAATGATGTGCGCCGGGGTTTGTTGCACGACCTCGATCACGTCATCTTTAACCAAGCTGTAACTACCGCTGTAGGTACTTGTTGAAATCCTTGTACTCGCAGTCGTGGAGAAGCGACTGTATGCTTTCACAAGCAACTGTCAATAAAAGAATCAGCTAAGGGACAGTATATAATATTTTCGTGTATTTTGACTTTGACAAGTAACTAAGAAAGTCCCTTCACTGTCAGAGAAAAACACAAAAAATGCCTAAAATAATGAACTTTGATAATCTTGCCTACAAATCATTGACAATTAAAACTACTTGTATTTTCTGTAAAGTCCAATCGATGAAATATGTTGTGACTTTATTACTGTGAGAAAGAGGCGGGCTCAACTCCGACCTGTTTAAGTTTTTAGACTCCTCGATCCATATAAGCAAAGTTCTTTACCATTGCCTTGTCTTCTAACTAAGATTAATTAATTCAAAAACTTGGGTGTATCCGACCTAATTCCTGCCCTGTTGATGGCAATAGACCTACCCCCTTCTACTAAAATTATAAAAGGCAAAATATGGATGTTTAACACGTCTCTGCCTACCCCCTCGGGGATATCCCGGATATCGGATATCATCTATATAGACATGAGTGTGTAGTTTATGTATCTTTATCATTCCACAGTTTTAGCGTCTACAGAAGAAAATTTCATTTATAACTAATTTAATAAAAGTGGTTTTTCATGTCAGTTTGGGGATAACTGAAGAAAGTAATAAATGTGAGGTTTTCATTGATCTTTATTCTTCTTTTCTTTTTTGTCATAGCAATTGTTTTTTTTATGGTCTAACTACAAACTAACCATCAGGTGACTCATCTGCTCGTTTGCTCCCAAACGAGCAGATGAGTCACCTGATATTTAGTATTACAGTCGCCCATGGAAACCTGCAACTTAAACGTCACAAGTGCTTGCCGCCCTTTGAGTGAAGAATCAGTGGGAGGATTAGGGTTCCGGTTACCTCACTCACTCGGTGAAAAACAACGAAAAAAAACAGTGGCACTCCGGGACAGTCGGACAATTCTTTCGGCAACAGAAGTAAAAACTTATATACATACAGAGGTGTCGGTAACGTCAACGGTAACAGTGTCGGGAGTTCAATTGTTTGTTCCCATCTCAAAAAATGCCCAACGCGCCTAAAGAATTTTACACTTCATCAGCGGTGTCGGTAACGGTAACAGTGTCGCGAGTTCAATGGTTTTTTCCCATAAAATACATTCTTTTGTTTGTTGTTCAAAAATGCCCAACGCGCCTAAAGAAGTTTTCACTTCAAAAATTGCTAAACACCGGTTTTCTGTGAGACCGCGGTATGACTCCGCTCCAACCGTCCCCTTGAGAGACTGAGCGAAGGTCTCTGGCGCTCAGAGACGTCAGAGGCAACATATTGGTACACAGGTTTGCTCATTGTAGTCGAGAGGTTAAAGCCGTTGCAGTGATGATATTTTGCTGGCCAATGGTTGATATTTTCATGAAATTTTGCGAGGAGAATAAAACTGTATGAGATAGAAAAAACATTTTTGTTTGAGCATCAGGTTAGGAATGGCTAGTTACTAGCAAATTTACAACGTTGGCTTGAGATTTGGTACATCTAAATTTTTATTCAGATCATATTTAAATCAAATCAGAAGCGCATGCATTCCAGCGAAAGCTGTTGACTTACATGGTGGAAAATGCTCATGCACCCTCCAATGCAGTGCAGGTACATATCAGTGTTTTAAAATCGGTAAATCGATTCTTTAAAAAACATAGCATATAGGTACAAACATAAAGCAACAGTTTTTTTTTCTGATTTTAAATATTTATCAAATTCAAATAGCACCGCTATGTCCAACACTAAAATCAGTCACAGGTAACATGTGCGTTATTTATTCTGTTACTAGCTGACCCACTCAACGCAACGATCAAAATATATGGCTATTTTTCTATTTTTATTTATTTCCAGAATAAAATAAAACGGGGGTCACAAATTGTTTATAAAAAACTAACTTCATAAACAATAAAATTATTGGAAAAAAGGAGAAAATAGAGAAATACCAATTAGGATTTTAAAATGAAAAAAAACTTGATTATTTATTTAAACAATCGAAATATACGAAAAAACTGTCATAAACAATTAAAAAATTGTTAAGGATTTTTTTAAAACATCATTTTGCCTTGACAATAAATTGGCAAGATTTTTTTTAAATGGCCTTAAATTTTATTCAATAAAAATTAAAACTTTTTGAGATTCAATTTTTTGTTAATTTAAAAAAATTATAACAAACAAAATATAATACTTATGTAAAATTTTATCACGTGATCTTGTTAAGTGTGTATACAGCCTGTTTATCGGCTTATAACAAAAATTTCGACGGGTCTGTTGGTCTAGGGATTAGTGACCCTGATTGCTAAGCCGAAGGTCCTGGAGTCGATTCCCACCCAGGACAAATATTTGTGTGATGAACACGATCGTTTGTTCTGTGTGTGGGTGTAATTTATCTATAATATGTATGTATTTAGAAATCTTGTATCGAAACTATGTATTTTTGGCAAAATATTTGAAAAAATAATTACAACTCAACTCTCTCACGAAACAAAAAATATCATATCTGCAGATCAGCATGGATTCTTTAAACATCGCAGTGTCGAAACTAACATGGTTACTTTTGTCGACTATTTACTTAACTCTATGGATAAAAATACACAGGTGGATGTCGTGTACACCGATTTCTCCAAGGCATTTGATAAAATTAATTATAACTTACTAATTGTAAAACTTCGGCGAATCGGTATACACGGCAACCTACTTAGATGGATAGATTCATACATTCGTAACCGCAGTCAGGCTGTTTGTATAAAGGGTTACTGTTCCACGTACTTACCGATAGCTTCAGGCGTCCCTCAAGGCTCTCATCTTGGACCTGTCCTACTCTCTTTATATATTAACGATATCGGCAAGACTTTATGTAATACCAGTCAGCTCTAAACTTATACGCTGATGATACTAAATTATTTCGATCGGTTATTAGTTCTGTGGATTGTGGTAAATGACAAGACGATTTAGACTCCTTACTTAAATACTGTCAACCAACTGTTTCTTAATCCCAAAAAATGTCATATTATCAGCTATACGCGTAAAAAACCTCCTATTATTTACAATTATAAATTAAATAACGAAATTCTTGGAAGGGTTAGTAATATAAGGGACTTGGGTATTATAATGGATAGTAAGCTAACATTTAAATCATATTACGACTCCATAACTCAACGAGCCTTTAGAAACTTAGGATTTATAACAGAGTCACTAAGCCTTTTAAAAATAGTACCACTATCAAAATGCTTTATTTTAGTTTTGTTAGGTCTATCTTGGACTTTGGCAGCATTATTTGGAACCCATTCTACAAGGAACACATAGATCAGTTAGAAAAGGTTAAAAGAAAATTCATCAGAATTCTAAATTATCGCAACTGTGCCCCATCAGGCTCTTATGAGGAATCTTTAGCTCGATATAAACTACTCAGCCTCCGGGATCGGCGCACGCAGTTTGACATAACTTTTCTATACAAAATTTTAAATAACTGTATTGATTCAAACATAATTCTCTCCAAAATTAACTTCATCGATAAACTTCGACTTCCTGTACGCTCCTCACGTCTCGGTAAGATATTTACACCACTTCGTTCTCGAAAAAAAATACTGTCAAAATAATTTTTTCACACGATGCCCCAATAATTACAATAAGAACTTCTCTGATATAGATTTATTTAGTAACTCATTGCAAAAGTTTAAGCTAATGTTGTTTAAAAATCTGTGTCAATAGGTAAAAAACTTAAACATATGTATGCTGCGTATTACGTAGCCTGCATTATATTCCTGGACACGATTGTTATGATATGGTGTCCGCCCTTGTTTCTTGTTCTTTTCATGTTTTTATTTTTCTTTATTTTATATGTTTTGTCTTACACAATATGATATGTAAAAGCTTGCATAGTATTAATATAAGTACTTTACTCTGTAACATCTGTGACTCATGCAGCTTTCTAAGTCAACACGTAGACTTTAATTATTACAAAAAACTGATTTCGGCACTCGTTGTCTATCACCCTATGTATATTTATTGTGTATTTTATGTTTTAAATGACTGTTTGTGCCAAAATAAATGAAAAAAAAATATATATATATAATTATGTTTAACAGCGATCATGCGATTTGATAGCGTTCCCAGTAAATTAGCATCATGTCAAGATATTCCGCGGCTGTGAAGGTCACTCATGGCATTATGTTGATAACCTAATAAAATTAAAAGACTGATAATGCACTCAGTTTCACACAACACAAACTAATATTGACACTTTTCAGAATAAAATTAACGGGACTCGACAACACGAAGTCTTCCGCACACGATAATATTATTTGTTTACACCATTGCCGTGTATTATGATGAACCCAATAAGACTAAAAACTTTTCTAAACAAATATCTCAACAACAACAACGATATTATTATTACAATAACCCGTCGTGAGCGCATCTTTAGGGACATTGAACAACTTGCTAAAGGCCGACCAACTGTATTGACTGGTTGAACTGATTAAAAACGCGTGTCCTTACTCCTAATAACGCAATAATCAACATATTTCATTCTATTCGAGTCTAGTAAGGACTCGAACCGACTAAAACCGCACGCCGTCTCGGGTACTAATAGCCGGGGAACCAGGTATACCCTAGAAAGGAAGTCCTTGGTGCCCCGACATACCTCGGGTCATCTACAGACGAGTAGACGACCCCTCCCCTCCCCACCCGTGTGGGAACCCCATGTTCCCTGTGCTCCCTGGAAGCGAGCGCGCTTCCCAACGCGCTCGTCGCCACCCCGGCCTGCTTCTGCTAGGGTGACAGATGGCCTCACCTGTCACCCCCAGGCCTGCGCTTATGGAGGACGGAGGTCGTTCTGCGACCTCCGGCGCCTGAGTCGCCTGCGGTACCTGGCCCGTTCCCGGGCCTGGCGGGCCGGGAGAGTCCTAAACCTCTCCCGGTCCCGCTCCGCCGTCTCCTTCGTGAGCATAACTTGCTCGCAGGAGACGGCAGAGTTCCACGCACTCTCGCTCCGCACGATAGCCGCAATCAGGCTATCGAGCGAAAGAACTCCCACTCCGATGGCCGCCACGAGGTTTCGCCTCTGCTCAACCCACGCCGGGCACTCTGCCAGCGTGTGGAGAGCCGTGTCCACGGTCTGGCCATCGCAGTGGTGGCACTCAGGCGTTGGCTCCTTGCGGATCAGACACAGGTGATCCCGAAACATCCTTTCCCAGTAATCACCTGAGTCAGTCGGTATGAGAGGGTCCCGTGACGCCTCTCGAGCCAATCCTCCATAACGGGTCTTACCGCCGCGATGACGGCGTGCCCGGTGCTCGGTTGCCCGAGCTGGCGGAGTTAGGCTTTCCGGTCATCGATTTCTCGAATCTCGGGGCACCGACCCAACACCCGCGCCTCCTTGCGCCACTGATACAGAGCCGCAAGGGCTCTCGCCTCCAGGTCCCACGGTGGAGTTCCGGCCAGGAGACTCGCCGCCTCAAAGGAGATCGTGCGGTACCCCCTTATGATCCTGATGGCCAGCACTCGCTGCGGTCGCCGCAGTATCAAAAAAATTTAGAACAATTATTTAAACTTTTAAGTCGACTATTGTAAAAACAGAGATTGGATAAAAATTAGTTAATTAAGAATCGTATCACTTTTTTAAATATCCACAATTTTCTTTTTCCAATGTGGTTTTATTCTTTCAAGTGTTCTAATGACATCATAGAGTTTTCAGTTTTTTAAATTAATATTTAATACCATAAAAAAATATTTTGTGTGATATACTGTCTCAAGCAGCGTTGCGCTCATGTCGTAACGGTCGCGCGGAGACCTATTTTCGATAGTGAAAAATAGGAAATTTCCTTCTCTTTAAGGATCTTTTCTAAAAATTCTTAAATATGAATAGTTTTTAAGTTATTAACGAAAAACTGGCAACATTTTTTTTTTCATCTTACAATAAATTACAATTACAACTTTTGATGTGCTAGTAAATGCTCAAGATACCATTTTCTAGACGTCATTCCGTCATCGAATGAGCTATCGCACCGAATTTTAGGACCAGGAACAAGAATTAACACGGTTTTAACTTGTTTTTTTAACATGTAAACCTGTGTCCCCCTTGTTTTATTACATACGGACGTATATAACTTGGTAAATATACATGCAATGTAGGAAACACACATACATGCAATGATGTCGTCTTTGTTATACTATGACGTAAAACTTCAAAACTGATATATTATATGCTTTTATAAATTTGCTGGTATATTATTTGCATATTGCATATTTAAATCGGTACCTGTGTGTGTTAAATTAATTACGTATAATGGATATCAAGCCAACGCTTTAGGAACTAAAAACATTAAGTTAGGTACTTACATCGATGCGGCGGCTGGAGTAAAACTCAGACAACGAAATGCAGAATTTGAAAACTGCTATTGGCCAAATAGAACAGAAATACGGCAATAATTCATTGAAGTCTTAGAACGTTCCCGAGGCAGTCTAAATTCGTTTTCTGAATCATGAACTTCAATGGGTAATAGATTAGGTATCGCTGTGGTCATATTTATTTCTAAGTATAACAACCTCAATCTAATGGCATCGTTAACTTCACAAAGGTTAATAAATGTACGTAAAAACATACAATTAATGGCATTTATTAGTTTAATAAAAATCTATGTAGGTACCTAAATGAAGATTTTTGACGGTTGCTAATAACCTGTTAACATATCTTTTTTAAAACATGTAACTTTATTTGACTTTTTTAATCAAACATGAGTCAACAAAATAATAATAATATATAAATATACATATATGTTATGTGCTTCACTCCCAACTGGCGCGATAGCTTTTCGCCCACGCTGACGCCTATTTTCCCGCCATATTTCCAAAATAGAATGCATTGAAATCGCGTTGTTTACTCGGAGAAGACGGCTGGAGCGGCAGTTCGCGATCATACGCTGTACGACACACGTCCGCGCAACAGAGTGCTACTACAATGGCCGTCAACCCTAATTTCTTCCCCAACGGGTACCAAGATCCCATGCATCCTGAGGAGGAAGTTGTCACAAACTGGGTGCGTGCGACAATCACATTTTACACTAGAAACTACTTCTCTTGTCATCTACCTAACTCCATATAACAATAAGTGTATAGTGGTTCCAATTTTGATATAATTGCAAATGATGTGGAACTTTCGTCGATTCGACATAACAAAAAAAGTTACATAGAATGTTGAAGAACGACCTAAAATTAGACCACTTCAGACGCTCGCGTAGTGTTACAAAATATGTGATGTAATACCGCGAGCTTACAGTTTTATAAAAAAATCGTAAGTAATTCAAAAACCATGATACTATTTTATAAAAATGAAACTAGACTTTGCTGCTTGTTGCAAGCACTAAGACATGCAAAATATTATAATGACGCTGTAAAATTTAGTTTATGGAAAAACTCAATCAACTCAAGGCGTTATTTCCAAGCTACGTTTCGTAAATTCATTCTTTCACTGATTTGATTCCATCGGTAGATGAAATCTGTTTTTGCTGCCTATATATTAAAAAAAAATGAATCCTTTAAAAAAAAAGTTAAATCGACTTCTAACAATACTAACAAAGAGCACCAAAACCTAGCAGCAATCTCGGTTCTTTTGCTGTCATTTTTTGAAGAGTTCCGTTGTCTGTCTACGAAACTCATCATCAGATCTATATCAAATTTAACTGGGGCCATTTCGGAATAAACCCCTTTTACAGAACAAAAACAGAATTTTGGAAAGCCGTCCATATATGACGCAGTTATGCCCGAACATGCATAAAAAAAATCCGAATTGATAACCTCCTCCTTTTTGAAATCGGTTAAAGAAACTAGGAACGTCCAACATTTTCAGATAAATAAAGCAAATAGTAGATTTCAGATAAATAAATAGTAGATACTGAAGAAAATACCTCTTTTGAGACCGTGTTTTAATAGAACTTTTGTCTAAAAATTATGTATGTTATGTTGCAAAAGATTTGAATGTTTAGGTTCGTTCAGCAGCATCATGTTAACATACACCCTCGCCATGATATGCAATTGCGCATCGTTTAGCATTTTTGGGATTTATTTAATCATTATAACATTAAACAAAAAAAGTTAATTTTGATTTTAAAGGTTAATTTAACATTATATATTATTTACCACAATGTATTATTAAAAATATTTAAAAACTTAATTGTTTATCATATCAGCAAAATCAACGGTTCTCCTAAACTTGATATTACATTCGCAAGCTGTGAAGATATTTTAACGCCGAACGTAACGTAATACGTGCGTAATGCTTACGATAAATAGTTTTTATGCCAACAAATTACTCGATACCTACTACCACCTTGTGGCCAAATCTGTCGGATAAGGTCACTGATCAGTTGATTTACATTACTGAGACGATACTGCTATGCAAGCAATAGGAGTATCGATCTGTTTTTATTGATCATAAAGCATTGGTCTTAACACACTCTGCAAATCACATCACATGCATTTGGGCCGATCTAATGAAATATTGATCTGAAAACCGACGTGATCATATGTTCAATTTTGAAGAGAGCACATCTTTCTTTTAGATGCATTAAATGTATGTATAATAAATTAAACTAACACAAGGCTCCTACTGCTGTAAACATTGACGCAAATGTACGACATCATCGACATATATACTCAGTCCTAAGGTGTATTGCTAAAAATGCCATTTTATTGCCACTTCGGTCCAATCTCAGTCCACATAATATTTTATTAAATTCCAAAACGACCGCGACCCAAATTTAACGCCTGTATAAATACATATAACGAAATTATGTCAGAAGTCAAATATATCATAACCTACAATGAATAACCTCGCATTATAATTAGATACGAGGAGGATTACATACCACGAAAGCGATTGGCTGAATCTTGTGGAGATGTCCGAATTATTTTTATGAAGACGGCGCCTGATTAGTGTCAGCCTCGAGCTTATATTCCTACAAGAAGTTTGAAAGAAATCGCTGGCATTTTAATTGCTTCAGTCTGTCTACCTTCAAAATGGTCACATATGTGACGAATGCGCTGTCTTATCTTAATTTATGTATTACAGTTGCAGGACCCGTGAAATAAAAATTAAAATGTTTATGAGCCATTTAAGCTTGTGTATCAGTTTATGTCCCTACTATGTACGCTATATTTAGCCTGTGATGTGAGCCAACTATTCTAGATCATGGTTGTATATTTTCTACAAACTGCGTCGACTTTTCCATTACAATCTAGAATGTCTAAATGGAATATTGAGCATTTACAGCAATAGCAAAACTTCATATAAAATGTGCAAAGAATAGCAGCAAACTTGTTTTTGGGTTAGGTATTACCTTTTTTTACTAATTTACTGAGTACCTTTGTAAAAAAAAAATAGTAATGATTCATAGATACTTATTTATTAGAAACTTATAAGTTAAATCAAACAGTATGGGGTTTGATTAAGTATAACTAAACTAAGATATTGGCTAGTGGCTAAGTGGTAACAGGGTACGATCAAGGAAGCAATCCAAGCCAGGTCAGTATATCGATGAGTGACCATTCTTTACACTCTGAGAACCTTCCGTGCCTTGGAGAGTAGGTACGTAATGCCGTCGACTGAAAGCCGACCCCAAGTTTGGGAAAAGGCTCGGACGATGATGATGATTTTGAATTTGTATATATGTGTATATGAAGGTAGGTAGGCATTTATGCCCTTAATAACATATAGCTTTTTAATACATTATGCTGGATCTACTCTATCGCAATAATATTTGATTCTAGTTATTGTTATTGATTCAAGTTACTAATATAGATTAATAAGTTTTTAAACTAACCGAACTTATTAATCTATATCAATAACCACTACGAAGGTGCAAAGTAGTTTTCATATTTAATTTCATGTTTTAATATTCATATAAGTATTAGGAAGAAAAGAAAAAAAAATACTGTGTACCTAACTAACCTAAGAAAATTATGTTGTATTAGAAAATTTGGTGTTATTAAATATTATTATTATTGTGTTAAATTTGTTCTTTCTCAGCTTTCGCTGGTAGTATTTTGTGACATTTACGGACAAAGTCAAGTAAATGCCACGGGTTCTTGGGCGAAGTTTATTATGTCTATTCGTCTATTGCATTGTGTATTTGTTCATCTATTTGCAGAAATTTTCTTACGTTTTATTTTTCTTATTATTATTATTATATGTCTATTTGGTTTCTCTTTACTTAATAGCTAGGCGCAAGAATAAAAATCATTTGTAGTAAATCGAAAATGGCAAAATAATTTTTTGTCAAAAATGGTGCAACCTTGTAAATTCTGTACAATTTTTAACATCTTTATCTATTGTGTTAAGTTCTTTATTCGAAATAATTATAAATTGAAAAATATACTTGCTACAGCCATACCGCACAACGCCCCTGGTTCTTCCGGGTGCGAAAGTGCGCCGTGAGCCAGGCCCTACCGAGAGCTACCTGCGTCATCACCCAAATCCTGCCATGCGCGCTCCCCCCAGCCACGACTACCGTGAAACCTTGATGAGACAGAAGGTAAATTACAAACTGTATTCAATCACTGATGCCCACAAATTTTAAATGATTTTGTTCAATTACACAATTCGGCAATCTTAAATATCTGTTTTGGTTTTCAATACATATTTCAAAGTAAAAGTACAGTACTTTCATTGTAATATAAACATAAACCGTTATTGCTCCATTCAAGTCTCAAATAATATATTATATTCCAAAACATTGGTACTCCAATAGAATTTATAATGCAAACCTAGTCGCGGAATGTCCCGCAGTAGTTGGGATTCTAACATTGATTTTCATAATCGATTTGTTCTTGGTTTACTGTATCACAATTTATTGGTTTCTGCCCGCTAAGTATAAAATGCCTCGTACGTCACTCAAAATAAAATCACACACGATTTTTCAATCGATAAACATAGAGCTAATGTTGATCTTTTTCAGACCGGAAAATAATAAACAATTTTTGCATTACAACACTTACAGTAAACCGTATCTTACACCGTTTTAATATATATTTATGACGTTTATAGCTGGAATCCCAATTGTATAGCGCGTGCAACTAGCTGAATCAATGTTTTATTTTTACACCTCGCAAGTATTACGTACCTACCTACTAGATATTTTTACTTATTTAATGAGCGCAGTTTGCAGAAACTTTATGTAATGGCGAAAATCGAACTAAGAATGTAGATGATAATACACAAATATATACATATAGCCCATTAAGATGGCTTACAAGTGTATATGTATTAAATTGGAAAATACTATATATACTCATTGTACTATATATATATGTATACTTAAGTTGAACGGAATATAACGTCCTTTGAACAGTATTACGCATGGATTGAGTGCAATCGAAATACTTAAAATGGCTTTAATTAGCTTAATGTAGAAATAGGTCGTATTGTAGGTACTTGCATCATCAAGTGATGATGCACGTTACAACGCATACAAGCACTCACTTTGCACGCACACTATCTCCTATTTCACACACTAACAGTACACATAGTTACTTACGCTTGGAACAAAGCGCAATTGTATTATTAATAAGTAATCCAATATTTCATGCTGAAGAAATAAGATGGACTATATATTTATATAATTCTTTGTAAAATTAACATTTAGGCATTACTTTGAAGAAATACGTTATTACTTTCAAGTCTTGAAGTCCTTCTTGTTTCCATCAATAGAAGTTAAGTATAGCATTAACGGTTCTGGCCATAGAGCACGGAATGATTAGTACAGTAGTGTTTTAATAAATGTCAGGTGGCTGAGTCGGTGTTGCAGCGAGTTGTTGGCGAAGACGCGAATAAGGTGGTGCACATTGTGTGACAATATCAGCTTCAAGCATGACCGACAAACTTCTATGACGAAGCCCGTCGTCTTAAAAACGATATATTGCAATAGTACGACCATCTTATATTAGGAGTTACATCTTGATATAGCATTTTTATGGCATGTTGTTTCAGTTGATATTTGTTTTTATGAATTTATACCTGACTCATCTCGAAAAAAACCCGCCATATTTAAAAAAGATTTTGTGTTCTTGGCTTACTCTTAAAGCGTATTTTGAGTGATGTAAAAGCAAATTTTTGCACAGCCTCATATAAATTATGTTAAGAGAAATTATCCATGACATCGTCTCCTCGGCGTGTCACTGACGATAAATAATTATTTTTAATTTAAATCTATGAGAGACTTACAAAATATATGTTTACTTTATGCATAATAACCTTCAAGTGTCACGAAGATATAAAGTGTTTCTTAAAATTGTTCGTAGTTTATATTATTTACTTATAGAATCTACAATAGGACATCAACTTTTAAATTTGTTATATAGACCTTTATAAGTACTAGACTTGTAGAACAGTGTACCTAAATTGATGTGGTCTTCGTTTTGTACTCTTGCAATATATCGATTAATCTCACACATTCATATGTCTATACGCCATCTTGTTTGAGCTTTACTTTAAATGAATGATTATGTAACGTCTTACACGATTCTTAATATACATACTTCATATAGAGAGTAACTACCTACTTATCATTTGTTGTTATTATTTGTAGACTGATATTAAATTGTATAACCATGAAATACGAGTATGTGATTGTAAGTGAACATTTAATATTAATCTACATATCATCAAATTGCTTTAAAACTCTTCATGCAACTGTTTTATTTGTTATGAAATTGGTGTTTTAACTTTTCAAAAGAAATTTTGTAGCTGCTCTCTGGTGTTTTACTTGTTCAACTGTTGGTGGATTATATCGAGGGTGTCACTAAATGTTTCCATATCGCCGCAGATGGTGCACAAGCAGTTCAACTCCCCGATCAATCTATACTCGGAACAAAATATCGCAAATTCGATCAGGCAACAGTCCTCGCCGTTGCCGTGAGTATTTAAATGGGACTTATTTTTACATCATATAGTTTAGCGTTTACAACAGTTTTACCGGCCAATATGTGAAAAAGTTCGAAATAAACAAGTTATATACCATCAAGTAAATCTAGTGTCAGTCATCTTGACCACGCATATCTTGGCAATGAAATTGAACAACATGGCCGTTTGCCAAACCCAGCGTTACATAAGAACATCCACTTGACACTGTAGTATACAAATTCTGTAAATACGTTTCCTCTGATTATTGGATTGACAAAATATTTTCCCCTGCTTTTTTTGCCTTAGAATCCTAGGACGAAAAGCTAATGCACTTATGTTGTCATAAACATTTCTATTAAATTTGACTTTGAGTAGGTATAATATAGAAATAAGTAAAATTATGCAAAAAATACATCGGAGGCATGACATACATGTTAATGGACACACATAATAATGGAGTATTTCTCTACTTACTTAGCTATAACGGCCATTACGGGCGGCCGCACGTTGTCAAGAGGCAAGTGTTTTACTAGACCGCCGCCAAACAACAATGGACGCCCATCCTCATGATGCATTAATGCTTTATTTTATGTTTCACTATTTTTCGATTCTTGTATACTTCGTCTGTTTCACTCCACGCTCAGTTCTATAGTCCAGCATGGTGACGACATCGACATGTTGGCAGTTACTCCAGGAGTTCCGAAATTTATATTATACGACTCCTCAGGCGCCCCACATTAACGCGACCGAATAGTGTGATCACGGTGTGGCGTTCACTGTATATCAAAAATAGCTCTTAAGTAATATATCTATCTATGTAATTGAACTAAATAATATGATTAAGGTAGCGAACTTATTCTATATGATTAATGTTAGTATTTTTATCGACCTCTCCTTCCTGAAACACAAAAACTAAACTCGTACACTAACTAACCGCTTTCGCGATCCTTTAACATTTAACTTACCTGCCGGGTCGAGTCTAATGTATTTTCTCTCTATTATTGCGCCCGCTAACCGACTAAAAACTAACGCCCCACGCCCGCTCGGTCCACCGGCCCGACAGTTACAAGCCGACCGTGCTGTACGACCCAGCCAAGTCCGAGACGTTCCGCGCGCTCCAGGAAGAGGGGCTGGGCGACGTGGTGCAGGAGGTGCCCACACCTGTCCAGCCGAAGGTCTTCACGGCGCCACCCAGCAAGGTGGGCTATATATACGTAACTCTCCTCATTGAATCACGTTGTAATAAAGAAATGAGGACGGGTTAAATCCTCAAAGAAATCACAATGCCTTTCAGTATTGTTTAAGCCTCATGCTGCGCTAATTGATGCACAGTCTTACTGAAGTAGACAGCACTTTAAAGCTGTATTTATAACAGTTCAGAACTGTTATACAGCTTTAATCCTAGCATGTTGTATGCCAAACATCATAATGAAAATATTAAGTATGACTAAATTGTTTACTAATACCCACTCCAGTATGTACTGTGTTTTTTGTTTGATTGATATGTGAAGATAACTTGGGTACCAATGTTTCATATCCACTCTAACTTCACTTGTATGTATTGTATTTATATACATCTCAGCAATCTAAAATTTATTAAATAAGCTTTGATAGCTAGTCAGTATGAATCTAGACCTACAAAAATATTTAAAACTATACTTACATCCGAAAAGGATACTATAGAATTAAACTTTCCCTGGAATTCATTGAATTTGTAGGTATTTCTAAGAAATAGAGAGCGATTCTCTTATTTATTACATTGTACGCATTTGAGCCTCCGTAACAACTCGACTTTCTGAGGACGTAATAAACTATAAGTAGATGTAGAACACCACTATTGTTACCAGAGGGGAATAGCCACGTAGCAAATGCTACAGGCCCGCGCATTTTGGGGCCCCGCGCACCAACGCTTTCTGACCGTAAAAAAGTATCTAATAGAAATGTTCTTTTAAATCAATATAATCTCTAAATCTAAATGTCCAGTTATAACTAAAACTTTAAGTACATTTGTAAAAGTGAGCGTTGGATGCACTAAAAATCATGTTTTGCACTGTGACTCGACACCGGCCTCCAAATAGCACAGGGGTGTGCCGGCCAAAGCGCACGCGTCCTCTATCCACACGATGCGATAACCACCGGCTCTAACCGCCAACACCCTTTGAGGGCGCCAGAGGCGCGCCCTATTCTGGGCGGCCAGAGCCGCCGCCCACACCGGTGCACCGTACAGTGCCATTGCCGGACAACGCCCGTGTACAGCCGTCTTGTCGCGACGCTGGCTCCTCCCAAATTAGGCAAAAGTCCACATTGACCACGATTGAGGCGCCACGGGGCGGACCACGACGGGGCCCATGAAATAAGAGGCCTACGTCTTATCCAGGACCACCCATAAGCCAATAGGCGGCAAAACCTCATTTCTAAGGCGAGGCTTGATGATGATGATGATGATGAATACCTTAAACTACTTAGATAACCTAAAACAATCGAAATGCCCCTTAATATAATTTTTTACAGGCCTCGCGCAAGCTTAATCCGGGACTGATTGTCACCACATCACACATGAACGAAAGTTGATTCTCATATGCTTCATATAATAGGTGCATGTGCCATCACGGTAGTAGAGTTTCTGTTTATCTTATATACATTGTTTTATTTGATTTACATATAGAAACAAGCGCCAACTCCAAGACCAGCCCAGGAGAAGCTGAAAGGAAAACAAACGACCTTCGTAAGTATCAGTGTAAATAGTGAAAATTCATTAGCCTAACTTAAAGTAGGACCCGTGACTCTGATCTGATCTGATATTATGGGCTAGTCCATTAAGAATAACCTACTGAATGTCGCAAAGTGAATTTAAAATAAATTCATATTTGTTGCATAAATACACATTTTTCATCAGCAGGTTGACCCCAAAGCTCATAAGCGTGACCATGACAATATTTATCTCATTTCCTGGAATAATTATTTACTTACTGTATTTTTTCATGGAAAAGGGGGCAAACGAGTAGATGGGTCACCCGATGGAGAGTCACTACCGCCGCCAATTAACGCCTGTGACTTAGGACTTACAAGCGTGTTGTCGGCCTTTTACGAAGGGGTACGCTCTTTTCTTAAAGGTTTGAAGGTCGTACCGGCCCGGCAATACCACAGAAGATAACGTGTACCACAGATTGGTTGTGCGAGGCAAAAAGTGTCTTGAAAAGTGGTGGAGTGCCAATTATCCAAGTTATGGGGGTGAAAGTTTTGCCGTGTGCAACAATTAAAAAAAAAGAAAGAGGAAAAAAAATAGTCGATGCCGTGAATCCCGATACTGGCTGACGCAGTTAGGGCTCTTAAACCAATCCGAACGGTCTCATTTTTAGGTATCGGGTGCACAAACGCTACCTTCTAAGAGGATGACGCCTTTAGAATTGGATAAAGACGCTTTAAAACCGGTGCCAACTCTGAAGCAAGACGTCTTCAACACGATAGGAGAAATTCCATCGGGCCCACTGGACTAATGACTATCGAGGGAAAAGATTGCTTTACGCACTGATTTTTCTGTGAACCGAATTTCCAGCATACAGCTCTGGCACCGAGCTATGGTCGACGGTACGTTTTCCCCGTTATCCAAAGTCGAGTTTGATGCAAAGTTCGCCTAGGAGATCGTCGTTCTCCTTGGCATCATACGCCAACGAAGTATCTCCCATCTGCAGGGTGGAAGGGATTGACTACCGAAACCGAAACAGTCTTTGCAAGAGACCAGAATGCACGAGTTCCAAAAGGAAGTCTCACTAGTCTCTCACCAATCCGGCTGATGTGCTCCGATTTCGCCCTAGCAATGCATCTTTTGTTTATTATTATTGGCAATTTGTTTTTTACAATCAGTTTATTTTATACAATCAGTGTAACTGAACAAATTAAATCTGTTAGTGTAGTAGGTTGAAATGGACGACAAGTTATAATCTTCGGCTCTATTTCACCGACTCAGATTAACATTTGAAGTTGCAATCATCCAGGATATGGCACCTATTTTTATGACTGATTTTCTTACAGGTAAATTCGCTACACGAAGAGCACATCCAACAGTCGAACTCGTTCAAGCGCCTTATGTATAACGTGCTCGGCGACACCGAGTTTTAGTAATAATTCGTGAGCCACACCACTTGGTAGTATTCAACTACATATTGTGAAAGTTCCTATAAGTTATTACAAAATGTTCTACCCCTGCCGTTTTATTGTAATTACTTTTACATCTTTTAATATGGCATGGCAATCAATATGGCATCCCATAACACATGGGCTGATTATTATCAAAGCAAAGAGGATTTTAAGGCGGTTTTCAGGCGGTAATGTTAGAAGCAATCACGTGTTGAGTTAGCAACAAATAAGACTAACAAAATTAATTTTAGGAAGCTATCATATAATAATGCTCCTGGCAGTGTGTAATATTATTTTTCGGTGGATTTAATTATTCTAATACTCGAGTATTAGTGATATAATTTATATTTATATTAAGTAGAAATATACCGTTTATTACTAAGTGTTGATTTTTCTGTTTCTACAGAAATATATTGTTTATGAATATATATGAGAAATGTTGAGTGTACAGTCTAGTCACTGCGGCCAGAGCTCCGGTCGTTACTACGAGAATGAAATTCGATCAACGATAAATAAATAATTTATTTTTAAATAATAATTATTTGTTTTATTTTTACTACCAGGACTAAAATAAAACATTAGTTAATTTCAAAATAACTATATTCATAACCCGAAGTTTACTAACGATGTTACACAACGAAATAAAATACAGTCTTACAAATTTCATGAACGATAAGTACACAGATCGAAAATTGAAAATAATTTTGAGCAAATCAAAGAAAATAATAACTTATATCACAATTCACATCGTTTGGATAGGGGTGACGTCTCTTGCACTGAAAACTATTTACATCTAACATAATTTGTCTTCACATTCATCATAAGCATAACGGCTCATCATCAAACTCCAAAATACACCGATGCTATCAATCTGTGGTCAAACTGATTTAAACCAAGTCTTAATTTAAATTATGACAAAATTAAAGTGTTAATTTGTCATTAAAGTTTTACAAGTCAAAGCATTTAACACAAAACATTTTTAGATCACCAAATAAGGCACTGCAATGTTTCAGTTTCAAAACAAATTCTTTGGAAACATTCATAGCACATGAGACTCGTGGAGATGAATACAACATGTTACAAGCATTAGAGATTAATATTTTCAAAGCGATTATTTACATTTTACTAAACTTCAATTTGATAGTTCATGATATGTGAAAACAATGTAAGTACAGAAAAAGTAAGTTCAGAACATTCAGAGCATGTAACATCAAAAAACACCTCCAAGCACCCATATAAACCTCACTTATTTTCATACAATAACTTATACCACAAACTGACCGAAACGTTACTGATAACCATATACAATAAATTTACAACATTTAACATGAGAGAAATTGTTAATCGAAATTCAGACAAAAAAACATTGTAACGCTTACAAAAAAAAACCTTACAGTAAACGCCTGAATGAAACGACTAGTTAAATCTATTTATACAGTTATTATCAAACATAAATAATAGGCATCTGTTTCATATATCAGTTGTAAGTATTATCTAATAATAATTAACGAACTAAATAAAAATATTACGTCACATTTGTATACCACATTGCATTGTATATTATAAAGCAAGAAAAATATAAAAATGTTTTGAAGTAAATAAAATTATATGATACAAAAAATATGATGAGAATTACCGCACAACAAGATAACATAAAAGAGAGGAGTAACAGAAACAAATGAAATATTTTCGGCTTACTAAAATATTGATACCTAATTTTGGACTGATATTCACTTTTTATTTAGCACCAAAGTCCGAACTATTTTATTTAAATACTATCTACCTAAAATTCAATGAGTGATGTTAATTCGCTAAATAAATCATTTTCTTAATGCTGTTTTCAAGTTTAAATGTAATGTCAACTCAACAATGCATGTCTGGCTAAATACAACGATATTATTGAATTAGTTACTAACATTATCAACTATGATTAGTCAACTTTAAATTACACAATAGGGTAGTATCCTATTAAAATAAATTATTTTACAGTAGGTAGGAAATTGAGTATCTTAAAAATAACGACTGTCCACATTTTAATCTTTTTAGTCATCCCCCTAATAATGAGTAAATGTATTGATAACAGTATAAAGTGTGATATCATTAGGCTGGAAGCAGTTATAACAAAATTGAATCGACTGGAGGATAAATATTGACCTGCAATATTTAATTCCATTTACATGCACATTTGTTAGTTGATCATTTGTATGCTGATGATTCCACAGTTACAAAACGTAAAATTTTAGTAAGTTATAAAGCTTTAAAATGTTATATAAACCTATTTTAAAAATACCAGCTTGACGATAATATTGCAAACGAGCTTTTGTTAAGTTTCATGAAGAGATATTTTATTTTATTTCAAAAAGTGTTATTATAGTAGTAAATATGTATATTTATTTAACTGTTATTGGCGAAACTTTTTAAGGTAAGATTTCGTTTACAATGACAGTTTAAAGAAGATTTATACCTTTCCTAAAGCTGTGTAGCAAATAATTACAAATTCATTTAATTAACCTCAAAATAGAAATAGTACATCTGAATTAAAACTATAATTTAAAGAGTTATAAATTAACGTATTTAAATTATTTCAAATGAATATTCGTTTTGTAGTAAATATTTAATTTTATTTAAGTTCAGTTTCTAATCTACAAAATTGAAACAGAATGCTAAAATAATTCGAGGTTTAATGCTAACCGGCGTGGCTACATTCGCTTTCATATTATATATATCATATTATAGTTTAAATAGGAATTATAAATGTTTGTTTTTACTTTGAATACAAAAAAATAAAACAATATATAGTCATATGACGTTTTTGTATTACAGGCGGTCAAGGTGGGATGGAATAATCATTCAGCTAATTTTATTTAAGAGGTAAAATGCATAAATTTGTACTGATGGTTGTTCACATTGCGAAAAATTTTGGTTTACAGTTTAAAATGGTATTTACCATTTTAAAGGAAATAAAACTTATTGCCTAGATGACTTGGATCTTTCAATATGTACCATTATTACTTAACCATTGGGTGCAACGGGTATAAAGCGTTATTTCCCCGATTGTCTTGCCCCGAACGTGGACGCGGGCAGTTAACGCATCGTCAGTTAAGTATCAAACGGCATGAAGCCGATGGAATATTTATTTTAAAGAAAATTTATAGGTGTTTTAGTACCGTCCGGTTGATAATTTTACTAAGAATTTCACAACTCTGCGTTGGAGTTAAATGAAACTAAATAGAATGAGTTTTGATATGAAAGATTTTTTTTTATTAAAATTAGACAAGGGCTGTGCGAGAAAATGATTCAGAGAGAGAGAGAGAACAAAGTTTTATAGTTGCCACAGGAAAAATCGTTAGTTTTGGAGAAGAGTAACTGACTAGAACAGAAGAGGTGCTTTGCGTCAGTAGTATACAGGCGCTGTACTGTATAATAGTTAAAGTTGAGTCCGATGTGTGTGTGTCCCCTTCAATTATGCGTCGGACTTGTAAATAAGGAATAGCAGGTTTGAGCTCCACTGTACACTACCGACGTGAAAGTATACATAACACAAGTATTTCGTTTATTTGGAATGGTGGCTATGACTAGTGTTACTTCCAATTTTTTTTTAAATCGACGTGGTTATATGAACATCTTCGAATACAGCTATTTCCCATCCCTTGACAACCGTTCGTAATCCAAAATAATGTTTTTAAAGAATTGTCTGAGACAAACCTTTTCCTTATTTAGCTATTTACAACAACAATATTGTAAGAAAACAGTGCTTGTAACAAAAATATCAGACTATTAAGTAGCCTGGTAGAATCCAAATTAACTATAGAAGAATATGATAGTCAGTAGTTGAATAATCTTAATTGTCAAATGTCTAAATTATAAAATTTCAAAGAGAGATCGAGATTGTGTTCCAAAAGGAAGTAATATTGTGTGAAAATAATCCTTACTTCCTTGGTCTTCTAAATACCCCTACATATACACAGTAAATCCATCATACTATAATCATCTCAATGTTATCAGGACCAATGTGCAGAGAGGTATTTAGATTGATTAACTTGCACGTTTATAAGAAGTTAATAAAAATAACTTGCAGTTGCTGATACCAATCAAAATTTATAGAGAAATATAAAGGTTTGTGTATTTACATATCGACGGCGGGTACTAGGCGGATCACAATCATTGAGAACCTTGCGTCCATAAATGTGTTCGAATGGTTACAATCAGCTCTGCATTTTAAATATACGTAGAGATTCCATAACAATATATATATATATAACTTCTCGTTAGAATTTAGTAGCGATTAGCGTAATAATTTTAGTTCCTGATAGCAATTTCACAACCACGGAAGAACTTGAATCATTTTGGCATAAGTAATAAAAATAAGTATAATGGTAACCCTAGTACGACTAGAGCGGCACGGACTAGAATATTTTAACTATTATATAACATAAGCCGTTGCAAAACAGTTGCTTTTACCTCTATGTTAATAGACGCAAAATAGAACTTAGTTGCATAAAAGAGGCGGCACCTTGGTTTAGTATACAAAGTTTTAAAAATTATGAATTTCTAGCTTGATATGCAAATAACCTGAAGTTCATTATTGGTTTATATTGAACTATGCAATTTGTTTTTTTTCCAACCTCTTTAACTCCAATATCTGATGTATCTTATAATACGCCTCTTGACTAAATCATGCTGCTGTTCTGATTCGTACTAGGGTGACAGCTTTATAATTAGCCACCATCTTTTAAAATAGTTAGAGTACTGTAGATAATACATTCCTGACATCTTTTATCTAAAATTTAAAGAACGCTCAAGGAACTAGTCTAAACATGGTATCTCAAAAATCGAAGAGAGTAAAAATCTAAACCCACTTGAAATGGATTGGGACAAAATTGCACTTTAAAAATACCTTATAATTGATTTTGATATTATGACAATATATAGACCGAATTGTTTTGTTTGTAAATAAAATGTTAAATTAAAAATAAATAAAACCTTTGTCAGTGGACTTTTATTGACTTATTACAGTTTACGTGTATAAAAACAGTTTCGCTAACATTATTTTGTGATAGAGCAACACGCGTCATCGATTAAAGGTAGTGACAAAATTAAAACAATACATTTTCTTCGCATTAATAACCGGCAACACTGATCACGTACGTCGTCGACTTTACAGAATGTTTGTTGATGGTCGTTGGCGATTACGGTTTTAAATATAAAGGTAATGTATGAAGAGAATACGTATACTAATGTTCAGTGTACACGTAAAGTGTAAAAACTCATACGCAGATACGTATAAATTAATTTTCTATAACCAATGTATACTCATCATAACACTATATCATAATATTTTAAGCAGTCATAACGTATTTTGATTCAATAGAACACTGAACTTACTGAACTTGAACATACATGTAGATATATCGTACCGATGACACCGTACATTATTCTTCAATTTGGTAGCCACACGCTCTCGCATAAAAATACGTAAGGATGGCGACGCATATAAGCGTCGTTATCCTTTGTAAGTATTTTTATGAAGCTACCTGATATACTATATTTGAGGTATAGTATGTGGTTCTACATATTTTAAACATCTGATCGGAAGTACCGAGTTTTATTAAGTGGAAAAGGTGAATCGTCCATCGGTAATCAGAAATAAAATATTTATATACATATTTTCACGAAGCGGAAAGGGTCGTGTAACATTATTTATTTTAAAGCAATAAACCTGCTATTTAGATTCGTTTATTACATCTGGCAGTATCATCGTATTATCTACTCTTCATACTCGGTAAGCGACCTACTATCAAATCTTAGTGCACTATATCGCTATATATGGTATAAGTTAAGGGTACTCGATATTTACACGTACACGGAAAGGAGAGAACGAGATGCGGGGACAGACGGGCCGGACGCGCCGGCCGGTCGCCGAGGAGCGGAGCCGAACTATTATTATGTATTTACAAGGTCCATCGCACTGCACAGTGTCACGCCGCTAGTACACGGTGTCGTCGGGGTAGAGCAGCAGCGGGCGCGTCGCGCGGCCTCAGGAGGCGGGCGGGGCGGGGGCGGGCGCGGGGGCGGGGGCGGGCGCGGGCGGCGCGCCGGGCGGCAGGAGCGACTCGCGCGACGCGCGCAGGTTGGGCAGCGAGCGCGCGCCGCGCGCCACGCGCCGCGCCTCCATGGCCAGCAGCTCGCGGATGTCGGCCTCCAGCGGGTCCACGCTGATGTGGTACACGCCGCCCTGCCGACCCGCACACCGATTCTTATTTTTAGCATCTACCGAGCTTCCACTGAAGAAACGATAGTCACCGACGACACTGACAAGAATGTATCCAAAAATATGTTCTAAAATTATCATAATTTTTAAAAATTTTTAAAAAGAATATATGATTCTTTATGTAGTCCTCATATAGCATCACAACATATCCAGAATTTGTCAAATGTGTATTAAATTTAATATATCGTGTTTTGGTAGTTTTTTTTCTTAACTCTAAAAGAAGTATTAATTCATGGCTACCCGCAGAAGTTCTTTTTACTCCCCACCCTGATGGCAGCGCTCAAACTGGATCTGCACTTGTAATCAATTTAGTTTGGATTAGTGCTAATTTATTAGCAATTCCAAACAAAAAATGAAAATATGAGGGAAGGATATTTATTAGTGTTAACAGGTGTTTACCTCTGGTCCGAGTTGAGAGGCTTCTTCGACCGCAACGTTGACAGGATGCACCAGACGCGTATCAGAAAATCTTCGAGTGTCGTCATGCGAATCGACACGGAGGCGATCTTCGGCAAGTGAAGACAATCTACGGTGTGGATTACCGCGGTATGTCTCGAACCCACCGCTTTCGTCCTCTTCGTGATACACCGCTGGCGGCGGTGGAGGCTCAATATTTGCAATCACTTGACCACGCGCACTCCTTTCTCGCCTTTTAACGCGAACTGGAGGCGAACCTCCACCGATTGGAATCTTCTCAGGCGCATTTTGTATTAACAATATCCTGTAAAATTAAAAAGTTAACTGTATTGATGTTGCAAACTTAGAAATAAAAAGTGTAATTCAAGTAGTACCTATTGTGAGCGCGCCAACGATTACAGAGATGTAGATACTGGCGACATTGTATGTACATGAAAACTGCACCGCCCGTAAAACCCACAGCCACTACAACCAGTTTCGTCCAAAACGGCCATGCTAAAATATTACACCAAAATTATTGAAAACAATTAATGTTCAAATCAATATTAGTTAATCATGTCATGTGTACGGAGAACTATAAATCATTATTTCTTATCTTAATTTTGAAAAGAAGCACCGATTATTATAATATAATAATTACAAATGTGATAGAACGTGAGGGAGGTCCATGCGAATAAGGAAAACGGATGGACCGAGAGCCCTAAGGTAAGGCATACTGCAAATCTCGGATGGAAAACGGGACTGTGACAGCATCACCAACTGGACAAACAGAGAGACCTTTCATGATTATATACATAACTATTATAATTTTATATGACATTTAGGGCAAACGAACAGGCGGGTTACCTGATGATAAATGTCTACCACCGCACATGGACATCTGCAAATGAAGGTCACAACTGCGTTGCTGGCCTTCGAGGTAGCATCCTAGCAATCGACAGTCAAGTTGTTCAATTGCTCTCCGTTAAATCCAAGAAGAAAGCTGGTACTGGGGTTCCAAAGAGATGAGAACAGTTTTCATATGCGACTAAACCTGCGCTTTTTAAACTTGTAGGCGGTAGTCCGGAGTGACATACTGTCTTGATTTATTCAGCACACCAAGCTTGTGTGGCACTTTCGCGTTACCCTCTCAATCACCGAGAAACTGGACTTTGCTCAATATCTCTACGCTAAGGATTCCAATGCTGGCAGTAGCTGTTAAAAGTTCTCTCAAAGGGAGGCGATACGACGATATATTTGGCGGTGAACGCGTAAACCTGGTCTTCTTGGGGCTAAGATTAAGTCAGCCCCAATTTGAAACTTCTATTAAAGAAATTTCACACAAGTTTGTTTTTGTCTCTCGATGTTTTTTCTACAAATATTAGGTTTTAAAGCATGAAATTACCGATTTGTGCTGCAAAATTGAAACATAAAAATATTACCCTCATTATCTATACATTGCTGCCATCTAAATGGAAATTCATTGTTGCTTTTCGGATACGGATCTAGATTCGACAAACTGTGTGAAAGCATTTTGTACTGCCTCCTGGGAAGACAATTTTTTATCACGTAGAAAATTGTCCAAATCACGAAAAAAATGGTAGTCCGTTGGAGCAAGATCTGGCGAGTACGGAGGATGACGTATGGTTTCGAACTGCAGCTCTTGTAGAGTTACAACGGTTTCTCGTGCAGTGTGAGGTCTTGCGTTATCATGGAGCAATAATGGTGAAGATCGATTCACGAATCGGGGCTGTTTCACTGCCAGTTTCGCCATCATTGTTCGAAATTCAGCACAGTGAACCTCTGCTGTTATTGCCTGACCAGACCTGAGAAAGCTGTAGTGAATAACACCATGAAGAGACCACCAAACAGTTACCATTACCTTTTTATTGGTAAGCTTTGCTTAAGGGCACTGTTGAGCCGTCATACCTGGGGTCAGCCATTGCATTTTTCGCTTACGGTTATCGTAAGCAATTCACTTTTCGTCACACGTCACAATTCGATCGCATATTTCTTTATTTCTGTACCGATTCAACAAGGCAACACAAGTTTCAACAAGCATTTCTTTCTGCAGATCAGTCAAATCATGAGGCACCCATTTTTCATATTTTTTTTATCTTATTGAGTTGATGAAAATGAGTCAATATTGTAGGTAGGATAACGTTAAACCATGCAGCTAATTCCTGGGTTGTTTTACTCAGATCGGCTTCCACCATCTCCCTCAATTCAGCATTATTCACCTGTATGGACGGTCTTCCACGTGGCTCGTTCTTAAAGTCGACGTTTCCATTATGAAAGCGTTTAAACCAAAAACGCTCGGAGTGTTCATTAGCAGTATCTTCTCCAAACGCAGGGTTGATATTGAAACCCGTTTCTGCCGTTTTAGTTCCGCGTCGGAACTCGTATTCAAAAATGACTCGGATTTTCGAAGTATCCATCTTTCACGTCTAAGCTGAATAAAAAAAAAGAAATCGCAAGTCGAAAATCTAATGATGCGCATTTTTTAAAAGAAGAACCTCTTAAGTATCAAGTGAAAAAAGTTTCGCACGAAAATCTCACACCATGAAGGTTTTACGCCAATTCAAAGTCTATTACTATACAACGGCAATTTCATACTTTAATGCCTAATATTAGAGCGGCCGGTATAAAAGACATACCCGCGCTATCTTCTACAGAGCCATGAATGCCGATTATTCGAAAAAAACTGAACATAGCCTTGTAGGATATTTGCATGGGTCGGAACATGCACGTCCAAAACGACCTTAATGCTTTTGTCTGCAAGCAAACTGGTGACTCACACAATTTCTTAGGAGCGAACCCGACCTCGCTCACAACTGAGCAACCCCCACGGAAACCATATTTTCGGTCACTCAGCAGCTGGTGACTTTAGAAAATCCAGGAGGACAGGGAGGCAGTTGATAACTTACCAATCATACCACGATTCACCTCCTCCACAGCACGTTCGATAAGTACAAACAGTGACCACATAACGCATAAAGCCGCGACACAGTGGAACAGTACTGCACAGCATAGTCTTCGACGCTCCACACCTGACATCTCCAGCAATCTCCACTGAAAACATAAATAAATATACTTTCGCCTACATTGCAGTTATTATGTTAATTCATAACAGGTTTCATAAATAAGATTAACATAGCATTCATAACCGAAGCGAATGAGAGTTATAAATACATAACAGGTTTCGGACAAGATAATATGATTTGTACAATATTATGTAACATTGGTTACTCATGTAAAGTAGAGTTGACTCACCTCATTGAAAGGCTTTATTTTGGTATGCATTATAAAATTAAATTTACAAAGTTCACATGATCTGGTTTCAGATGCTGTTAACCACTGCTGCAAACAGCTTTGATGAACGTATTTTAAACTTCCTGTAACAGACAACAGTTTTTAATAGGCCTAGTCAGAATATTTATTGTACACATACCAGAACAGGTAAGTTATTAACATAGTCTGTCTCTTTCGTGGTAGCTGTGTCTATACATTTTTTCTACACCAACCAAAATCATTTGATATGTCCGCCTATAATATTTACTAATCCCTCATTTTTAAGGTTTCGGTTCCTCAAAACTGGATCAATTCGTTCTCTCTCGGTGTTGCTGTCAAAACTCTATTTCTCATAAACACGTTACGTTAAAGTTAAAATCAACATGAAATACTTATCAATCAAAATCAAAACGGCTATTACATTTTAAGCTTGATGCGGACTGCTCCAGATCGGGATAGTTGACGACCTTGGGGGAGACTTTCGTTCAGCAGTGGACGGTAATAGGCTGATGATGATCGACATTTCGCAGTTAAATCAAAACCTATACTTTCCCGAATGGGAATTGTAAGACAAAACCGAGAATCATAAAATTTGGATACTAAAGCAAGGCCTCATAGTACAAGCAAAGGAAAAAATCCGAAATTCGTTGTTAATTTAGTTATCTCGCGTAAAATAATTGAAATCGCCAAGTGCGTGTCAGGCCAAGTTTAGTATATAGTTGCTTGGTTTATAACCATACTTTTAAAACAAGTAACGACTTAAAGACATTTTGTAGGGATTTTGTATTTTGAACGATTTATTTTAGTAGGCTGATGATGCTAAATTAGCCATGATACTTCTTATTTACGTGTTTTTTTTTTGATTTTTCAAGCCAACTCTCTCAGACTCTGACCAAAGTTAGCATATGAAAGTTAAATATATTTTGCAAACGGATAACTGAATCTATTTAGTCTAGTTCTAGTCCTATTACCCCATAGTCTTATCTAACGATACCCTACAATATGTAATACACAAGAAAAAACTACTTATTTCGTAAGTAGTGGGACCTTTCGCTAGAAATGGCAACATGGCGGTGTTCAGGACTTCGAAAGTATTTAACCTTGTAAATTTAAAGGCCCAAAAATTGTACAAAATCAGGTTACGTCTGTTAAAATACGAAATATTCAAATAAAGCGTGAGCAGTATGTATACTGTTCACGCTTAATATAAATATGTATGTTATAAGGATCATTTTGATTATAATGATAAAACTATACTACATGTCGTCTTTATATGCAATTTTTTTTTTTTTTTTACCACATTCACACAACGCCATCTAGCCCCAAACTAAGCAGAGCTTGTACTATGGGTACTAGACAACTGATATAAATACATAAATACTTTTTTTTTTGTAAATACATACTTATCATACATAGAAACACCCAGACCAAATCAAACATTAAATGTTCATGCACACAAATGTTTGACTTGAGCGGGAATCGAACCCGCGACCTTTGGAATAGCAGTCCGTTACACAAACCACTACGCCATTCGGACGTCGACGTTTGTATAACAAATAATACTGTATTGTTCAAAATAGGTTGGTAAATTACCCATTATTATTTTTTGTAATATGGAAAAGATAAGAATGGTTATTGTGGGTTATCCTTAGGAAAATAGACATACCATCGCGGACTTTTTGATAGATTTTGAATTTTTTTGATTAGAAAATTGATAAAGTTAGATATGAATGGTGTGTATGAATAAATATATTGTAATTTAATTTTTAATGTGTGGTTTCATTGTATGAGAGGAACCGAAGAGTATAATATAATAGTGTGTGTCGGTCGTGGGGTGCGTGTTATTTGTGGCCCTTCTCCTTCCTCGTCCTCTTTTCCTCGTCCTCGTCCTCTTCTCCTCGTCCTCGACCTCTTCTCCTCGTCCTCGACCTCTTCTCCTCGTCCTCGTCCTCTTCCCCTCGTCGTATGCTTAATGTCTGTTGTGTGTCTAGTGTATGTGTTATGTTAAGTGGGTCTGGTGTCTGGTGATGCGTTGTGTTTGGCGATTGTTGCGAGCCCTGTAGTTTTGGGTCCTGTGACTGATGCATGTTTTGCGATTCCTGGGTATTTTGTGTGTGTTGGTCCTGTATGTTGTGTACGAATACCGTATCTCCCAAAACTTTACTGAGTATGGTCACTGTGTGTATGGCTGCTTGTTTTTAAAGGATGGTTATGTCGATGTTGGCTTCTTATTTATCTATGTATTTCTTTATGCTTTTAGTGACTATTCCAGTTGCGCCTATAACTATCGGAATAACAGTCGTTTGTGTATTCCACAGGCGGGTGACTTCAGATTTCAACAGGTGGTATATGCTCAATTTCTCAATCTCCTTAGCGCCTATATTGTAATCGGATGGTACGGTGATGTCTATTAAATATATTTTATTGCTAATTTTGTCGATATATATAAGGTCAGGTCTATTGTGCGTTACGGCGATATCTGTTTGTACGGGCATTTTACAAAGAATTTTAGTGGAATTATTTTCTTTAACTTGTGGTTGTATGAGTGTTTCTTTCCACCAAAGATCAGAGACTTCTACTTTGTGTTTTTGGCCAGACAGCAGTAGACGTATTGGACAAGGTTATTTTATCGTTTAACATAATAGGTCCCCGCCAGTTTTTCGCATCCCGATATGATATGCTCAGTGGTCTCATCCTTGCAGGCACATCCTGTCGGGTCATGATGGCTTGGGTCTTGTATGGCAAATATTGATGATTCTAATATGGCAGATATCTGTTGTTTCTTAATCCGTTTAAACCAAAGCTCTGCATCTATGTTGGCTTGAACAAGTACTTTATACGGAAATTGCCCGTCTAACTGCTTACTTCTCCACACTGCATTGTGTATTTTAGTTAGGTATCACTTTCTTATTTTTTTTATCTGTGTGTTGTTGTGTTACCCACTGTTAAATGTAATTCTTCTTCTATTTCTTGTCCTACCTTAATTATTGAGTATTTATCTCTATGTGAGTCATGTTGTACTATTGCTTGAATAAGAAGATCTCTTTCTGTTTTTAAGTATTGCTTATATTTAACTATCTGTGTTTTATACAGATACTCTACGTTTATAACACCCCTCCCTCCTTCTGTCAACGGTAAGTATAGTAAGTCGAGGGCACCAGCTAGTATAATAATATAATAAAGGGGAAATATTAGATTTTTAGTATGTGTGTACTTGATAGGCTCCGAAACTACTAGGCCGATTAAAAAATCTTTCACCCATAGCTAAATACAGTAAAAGCAAGTAACATAGGCTATATTCTATTTTGAAAACATAGTTAATTTACTATAAAAACATAAGACAGTTTGAAGCCAGGTATAAAAAATTTATAAGAATATTTGCCTATTCGGCATGCGCTGCAAAAACTATTGATAATAAATAAAAGAATTATATATATTTAGAACGTATAGCTATAATAATATTTTTTTGTTAAAATTAGTCAACTAAAATAGGGGTCAAAAAAGTGATTCTATACTAATATCATGATACTGATAGAATCTACACTTTTGAGTAGTCCATATCTAAATAAATCAATAATTAATTTAGACTATATTATATTTATATGTGCAAATCACTTTTTGAATTGTTCAAATCGGTCAATTCGTTTTGAAGTTATGATGAGTAATAACAAAATAAAAATTGTCGCTATATCGCAAATCGCTACGGATTAATGTGTTATCTTTTCATTGTACACCGCCCCCTGTACGCTTAGATCTTTCAAACTACGCAATGGATCTTAATTCACTTATCATCAATAGAGAGAGTGTTTCAAGAGGAAGGTATATATGTATAATACATGCATGTACAGAAAAGTCGAGAATTTCCAAGATTTGTAATACGATGTCGTAAAAAAATATTATTTTATGAGCCTACGTTGCAAACACTGGCTAAACCTTACGAGATAGATGAAAGTAATAAACTACGGAATAGTATATTTTAAAAAGATCTACAAGAACGACCGTCATAGTATATGCTAGCTCCTAAGGTTAATCCACAACAACCATTTTTATCTCTTATCTTCTACTACTAAAATAAATGTCTTATCATTAAAATAAATATCTTAAAAGATATCTGAGCGTACGTCCCGGGTACCACGGGTCAACGCGCTGCGGAACGCGTGTCCTTTATATGCTTTATATGAAGATTTATGTAGTATAATACATATATAATATATATATAATATAATATATATATAATATAATATATATATATATATAACATATAAATAAATATTATAAAAATAAAAATTATTAATAACTCGGCACTTAAAATCTATATTGCCCACGTGCAAAGCCGAGGCGGGTCGCTAGTTTACTATATGTTTTTAAAGTCCATATATCCATTATCCACCTAGGTGACAACAACGTATAGGGCAATGTGGGTGCGTAGGCGGACTCGGACACTCGTATGACGCACATTTTCACAAGTTACCCGAAGCAAAACCTTCTGTTTAAATCAATATAAATACTGGGAATAACAATTAAGCAGAATGACGCAATTCTTAATTCAATGTTTGAAATTAGCAGCGGCGTGCACAGGATTATGACACTGGGTATGCGGCGGAGTAGTCGGTCACTTTTTCTTTTATAGATTTTTAGCACAAGTCTTAGATGTACTACTATTCATGTACATCTTCAACGGGAACGCAGACAGAACAGCGATAGATCGTCGCGGCGGAAGAAATTCTAATAAGTAAAATAATAGGCTAAAATATTATAACTACTAAGAATACAGAGTGTCACCACCCCTATTCATCCCGTGGGTGTCGTAAGAGGCGACTAAGGGAGCGAAATACGCAGGACACCAGCACTGCAGAGAGAAGGAAAACTTGACACAAACCCTATACCAACCCGTCTGGCCAGCGTGGTATAGTAGGCCAAAACCTCCTTTCTAAGGAGAGGCCTATGTCCAGCAGTGGACTGTTAAAAGCTGTTGATGATGTAATCATCATTATAACTACTCACCATGCATCATGCTTCTTTGCTGCGGAATAGAAATTATTCAAATCTGAATATCCCGAATCAGTCCACACTGTACTAGAATTACTAAACAATATGCAAGGAA